TAGGGTTTAGGGTTTGGGGGGGGGACATCTTACAAGGGATACGGCCATCAAAGCACCAAGAGCTGTCGGGTGGGCAAGCTCCAAAGCGTGTCCGCGGGCCCGCGGGAGCTTCGAAAACCCAATATTTAAAATACGATAACCCTGAGACAGGCTCCCAAGATCCATGTTCAATATCTCAACCCCTCACACAAGAAACACACTTGGGATAAAGAGCTCCATGCGTCTCGCGTTGCAGCAGCCGCCTGCCATTGCCCGGGGTCTCCGACCGCTCATTGCGATCCTGGTCCAGCTGACTTCATGGGCTAAGAGTGGCAAGGGTACAAGAGTCACATTCGAGGATGGCAGCAACTAGCTACCCCATCGTCATCACAAGGGTCGGAGAGGAAGGATAGTGGGATCTGGCTTGATAGCGAATAACAGGAGCTGGGAAAGGAGGTATGATGGGGGTCAGACCAACCTACAGGAACAATCGTGTGCGGTACCTGTGCCTGGATGTTTCAGTGAAGCAGCACCCAGATGAGGTTCGTGACGCAAACCCGAAGCCTGCATCCGAAACTGTACACCCTACAATTGAGGAACTCTCTGACTTTCTTGCTGACAAACCTGGTGTAATTAAACGGGTCCCTGCATGTCCTGCCCACCCACCGTCGCCATAGTGACACCAAACATGAGCCGACCTCAGATCGACGAAAGGACCGGTTGCTGCCTGCTTGGAGGAAGGCTCTGCATCCCAAAAACTTAAATCGCGACCTTGTTCGAGAAAGAACTGTTGAAGTAGGTAAGTAGGTGTCTCAGAAAGAACCTAGGCTCAGAACAGCCCCGCACCTGCGAACCACACAAGCCACGGTGGCTAAGATAACGGGACGGGCTCATGGCTTCCTAGATCCTGGGCTGGAGCAGGTAGATCAGCCGAATAGTTGAAGCAAAGGGCAGCAAAGGGCTTCGGGCCTAAGGCCGTGGCATGTCTTTTCACCCGTTACGGTACTGCGTTCGGCACCTCCAACCCCTCGCCTTGAGTCGCCCTTGCCATACTGGCATAGTGCATATGCAGAAAGACAGTTTCTGCATAGAAACTGGCATGCATCTACCTATCTGTTTGCCTGGCATCTATGGGCACTGAATTGTAACACCGTCTCTTGGTTAGATTACTTTATGATCACTTTCCTGTAATGAGAAGTTCGGGTGACCAAGCCTAGGACCTAGGAATTGTCACGGAGCGTCCCATGTAGTCAAATCCCAACTTCTATAACTCCTGAACCCTGAAACCAACAAGCTCTAAGGATCACACAAAGCTCTGAAACCTACGAAACCTCGAAACCCCATGTGACAGTCCCAAAACCAATATCCCCCCAGCCCTAAGTAAGAGTATGTATATCCTCTTGGCCTCTGGGTAAAAGCTAGAGCGAGGAACCCTAATATAGGGGCCTAAATAATTAGAATAGGGTTATGGGGCCCGTTATAGTATAATTATAATAAGGAACCTCCAAAATTGTGTTAGTAGTTATTTCGGCCCCTATATTAGGGTTCAGGGTTTAGGGTATTAACCTTGGCCAAGGACCTCTCTCATCCTCCGCGGACATGGGCGGAGGTCGTGGGCGGGGCTCCGGCTCAGGAAAGTAGAACCTGAGCTCAGAGGCTTTGGGAGGGATCTGGGGGTTTAGGGTTTAGG